ATATATTAATCTGTCACCTTCTAGATTGTAAGTCTGTGGTTGAAATATACTGGATGAAACTGATTGTGTTGGTCTTACTACCTAATTTGTTATGATTGGTGAAACTGCAGATATTTTCTGTTTGCATTTATGATAACAATATAACTGAACTTTCACCCTCAAGATTTCAGTGAACCATTTTTATCTGCAAAATTTTTCTGTTTCTGAGCTAAATCATCTTTTAAAGTGATTTTTTCTATTTCATATGTTCTCTATCCAAATCTCTGGATTTTCCCCTTAAGCTCTTGGATTTCTACACCAACTTCCTTTTTTTCTCTATAAATTATATTTTCTCTCTCTGTTGTGAGCTTTTAGTTTACTGACTTCCAAACACTTTTTGTTTTTAACTACAAGAGTGATCTCCTTCATCTCTCAATTCCTTGAAGACTTTTAAATATGACAAGTAAATTGTTCTAGTTATAAGGAGATTCTTTTGAAAAAATTCTTGCTACTCAATCTGCTTTAGGCTTTTCTGCATATACTTATTTGTCTGTTAAAGATATTCTGTTGTGTGAGGCCCTGAGTTCTCTCCTTAGCACCAGAAAAAATAAATGTCCTCTGTCTCAGAAAATCCCTTCCTTTAAAAGTTACCAGTTATTGATATTCAGCAGGTTTTTTCCTTGTTGTTGCATTCCCTGTGGTATTCTCATATATGATTGTAAGATTCATTATTCTGTTAAATTATTATAAGATCACTTCCCTTGTCAAAGTCAAGTTGTTGTACTCATAAATGACTGTCACCAGGGTTGTGGGGGTTCTAAATATTGGTGATGCTGTAGTTACCAGAAAGTTTCCATAATCTCTCTGCTAGAGTCTTAAGAAACATCCCTATGCTCCCAGCTCTCTAGTGTCCTGATTCCCTGGGGCTCTGACACAGAGAAACACCTATGTATGAGTTTCCCATATGCTGTGGCTCCAAGAATATCTCACTCAGACTACACAAGTGGACAAAAGTGTCTTCTTCCAAGACTGCCTGTCAAGCAAGTAAAATCAGTTTTTTCTCCCCACTACTCAGACCCAGCAGAAGTTTAATTCTGGCCTGGGCCTCTCCAGCAGGAGCTGTTGCTTCTCACTGCACTCTGAGTTGAACGCCATGCTGCTGTTGCCTCCTGGAATGCAGCACAGCCTGAATCTTCACAGCAAGGCCCCAGGCTCTGCTTATTGGCCCAGGCACCGCAGTCCTCTGAGCTTCGGTTGTTGGATCAGATTTGGGTGGAGGACGCTGAAGGGATACTGTTCAGGCAACCCTTGGATTCCTGCTCAGGACAAAGAAAGAGAACTTGTGAATTTACAACAGAAGGTCTATGATAAGAGTCTTAAAAAATAAAATGTCACTCAGGGTGGAAACATAATAGATATTAGAAACATAAAGCAGTAAGCTACCTAGAGGTCGGGAGAGAAGAGAGAAGGCTTTACTCACAGCAAAGGCTAATGATAAAGTCAGTGTAGGGCTCATGAGCAAAAGTAATGTGACCAGAGAGTCACAAGGAAGCCATAAGCAGGCAGTGCCCCCACCCCTCATGGCTTTTCATGGTAATGATGGGCTGTAAACCAGGGGAAGATACTCCAAAGGGAGGCCTTTGGACAACACTGTAGTAGGAAGGACTCAGCCTCTTAAAGTGATATGTCTTCTAATTCAAGGTACAATCAGATCTTGTTACTCCATTGCTTTGAAACTTGTGGTATTTGGTATTTGTGGCATTTGGACCTGAAAAATTTGTCCTAGTGCTTGTCCTTTGTCTGCCTCGGGATTTGCCAGCTAGGACTTGTCAGTATGATTTGCCTCATGACTTCTGCCATTTCCGGTCAAAAGAATTTGTTTCATACTTGATGGTTTTGGTAATTATCACACATCCTAGAAGTAATTAACAAGTACAAAGGTGTCACTTTTATGTCAAAAAAGTAATATAATTTATATGTGTATATAAATGATATATTAATATATCATTATTATACATGTACATATAATAATATGTATATTGTTTGGGATGCAAAGTTCTCATAATTTAATGTCTAATTCATAAACTGATAAAGGATTAATGATAGAAAAAAGGAAAACATCATGCACATTCTAAACACAAGATAAAGTCTGCTTTTTCACTCTTGTCTCTTCTTGTTGATTGCAAGTTCTCTGAAAGCAAGAATTGTGATTTAGCCACCCCTGCATCCTTACCACTTACCTCAAAGTAGCTTAATAGCTTTTCACAGTGTGTGAGGGCATCATTTTAGGTAGAGAATCAATAGAAGGAAGCTCATCACAGGGCCAGAGATGGTTCAACATGAAAGTAAAAAGCAATTAATATTTTGTTTGGGTTGAAAAAAGTAGATATAATAACCAAGACCGATATATATTTTATTATATATGCCATATTGTGCTAAGGGCTTACATACATTAACTCTTTTAATCTTGGCAGTAATTCTAGGATTTATGAGTGATTACAACCACCACTGTACAAATAAGGACCCTGAGGCAAAAACAGGTTAATTAATTTGCCTAAGGCCACACAGCTCTAAGTGGCAGAACCAGGATCCGACCATGGGTTCCTGGCTCCGTGTTGGATTCCTATCCCCCGCAGCATACTGCTTCTCTGAGATGTTGTTATGTTTATCTGAGGTAGGAATACATAAGACAAACACTGATTTTACCATGTGAAAATCAATAATTATCAAAAACTAATGGCTAGAGTAACCATCCTATCTCCTTTTAAGTACTTTTAGTGGAGTTTCAGTATTCTGAGACTTAGTGTTACTTTGAGTCGTCAGTGAGGTATGTGTTGAGTTTTATGTAAAAGCCGCACTTTGGAACAAACTCTTAGAAATTCATTCAGAAGTGAAAGTTTCTGGGGCTGAAAAATTTCCACAATATCTGGAAATTTGTATGGTGTAAACAACATAAGTAATTAAAGATTTGAAAAATAAGTGGAAGTATTTTTAGTGTTTATCCTAAAGTAGTAGTCTAAATCTTACTAAGCAAAATACATGTGCATATTAATGTTTTGCTTTTGATATAAATTGTAAAATTATAAAAATGAATCTGTACTTCTCATAATTCACCAGTATATCCATTTCCCAGAGACACATAGCCACAAAATAAACGGTTGACAAAATTGTAATCTTGACAAGATTCATAATACCTAATTAAAAATGATTCCAAATTTTAATTAATATTTTTGATTAATTCATTCATATGTGAATTTTACATTCGATTCCAAGTAATTTTAAGGCAACATCTTATAAGAAGAGAAGCACTTACTGACTCTTAGTTGCATCAAGTTGGTTGCTTCAGTTTATATACTTTCCTCCAAAATAACCTCTATTATCTTCGTTATTAAATTAAGAGATCAAAGATAAGAGAGTCTAAGTGGGTTTCCTAAATTCAAAGTGCTGCTTGTGTCTGCTAATTGGAAAATAAGAGAAAAGGAAATTGAAATACATTGTATTTTAAAATTTATCTGAAGTCATAAAGCCAACCATTAGATGGAAATTTAAAAACTTATCCTCTGCTTCCTTGTGTTCATTCCATTACATGATATTATTTTTTTCTATAAAACTACACAATTGGACCTATATTTGCACGTAAGAATACTAACTGAACCATTACCAAATGCCCCATGTATTGTTTTCAGAATTTTAAAGAAAGCTTTGGGACTGTGAGTTGCTAGCAACCCATAATTGTTCTTACACTGGTTATAAACTGGATGCTATACTACCTGATAAAATTTGTCTCAAACATTATAAGCTACCTTTTCCTTCATGTCAGTTATCATATGCTAAGGCATTTGAATTTTACCTTACAGGCAGTTCGGCAGTTTTACAAAAGTATAGAAAAGGCATGTTAATCTAGATGCCTAACATGTATGTTAAGAAGAACTGAGGTGAAAGTATGGAGGACAGTTAGACAAAAAATACTCTGTAAAGAATGACAAAAGAGTAGAAGTCATTTAAACTCTACAGGGAAGAGATGAGATTATAGTAAAAGTGGAAAGATAAAAAACAATATCAGAGATACAATAAAAACAATGTCACAAGGAAAATTAGAAATTACATGATTGTCTTTTAAAGAAAAGAGGAAAGAAATAATAAGTTGAGTTTGAGATATTCAGGAGAACTTTCTAGATTAAAAAGTAGGGTTGATTAAAGAGTGATTCTTGGAAGATTATGTCCCTGGATTTCTTCTCCAATGCAATCATTAAATTTTGCTTTATTTCTGCTCTTATGAAAATTTGACTCAAAGGCGCTTGTCTATGATGGATTAGTACTGAGGAATAGGAAAATCACTCATATAGAAAAAAAAAGATAACAGTGTTTTCTCAACTAACAGTAGATAAATATGTTGTTTTCACATACAAACATCAGTTTGTAAGCTAGAAAGTTCTGGAAAAAATTTACTTTGTCCAAAATGAAAGAACATGAGCTATAAAATCAATCAATCTTTATTTTTTCTCCTGACTCTGCTAAGTAAAATTAATTAACTTTTTGGGGGTATCACCACTTGTGTGTTGAGATAAAGACTATCAATCTCATAAAAGTTTTAATGACATAATGTATAATAAATCAGTGGAGGTTTTGGTGTGCTATATATGCCCCCTGAACATGAACCACTATTATTCATATGATTTCTCAGAGGTTGATATATATATGTAGCTATGGAAAATTTACAACATGATTATTATAAACATATTTATAAAAATAGATTTAAAAATACATACAGTACTCTTAAATTTGTAAATTATATGCATCAAGTATTGTACATATCAAATAGTGTACATATCTAAAATTTATAAGATTGTTATTCAATGACATATTATATATTATATTATCAAAAATTAACACTGACTCTGCCATTAAAATGAGTCCTTGGAATTCTTTTTAAAATGGGAAAACCAAAAATACCGTTACAAAAAAATAAATGCTGTTACAAAATTAATAAAATACAGAAGGAATAATGAAAGAATGTCATATAACTATGAAAAGGTACGATTTATTAATACAAATGACATAAAGGAAATAACACAAGTAGTCCTTTAAATGGACAAATGTAGATGCAAACTTCCGAATTGGATGATCAATTGCATCAGATTTGGAGTAAACACAAACAGTATTTGTATACTTAATCAAAACTCAATAAAAATTGAACAAATAAAGACATATATCTCTGAAAGAGCTAAAATGACAACTTTGATTTAAATATCCATATAGGAGCAGATTAAATTTTCAGAGTACACTTTCTTGTAAGAAAATAAAAATCAAATCAAATTATTTAGATTATTTCATTTATATTGATAAAATCCCAAAGAGTTCACTCAAATATTCATTGAAATATTCCCATATATATATGATTTTTTTGTCAAAATATGTCCTTCTACAGTTACAAAAAAAAGATAATAAATTCAATTTCCTCAAATTGCTGATTTTTCTTAGATTATAGCTTTATTTTCCTTCTTAGAACAGCCCAGGAAAAGTAGCTTGAATATAATGTCCCTTTAGGAAATATCTGCTTTTTAAAACATCTTCATTTAATATACAAGAAGGGAAAAGCCTCCTGGGAAAGAAGATAAAGGAGTTAGGATTTCTAACTCTTATGCTGAGGAAAAGGGATATCAGAAAGCCATTTAGTTTCCTTTACACTGCTGATTATAGCCCTCATTTTAATCTTCATTACACATGGAGCTCATTAATCCCTAAGCTGTTTTTAAACAATTAATATTAACCTTCTTCAATCCTATCCCTGGTTCCCTTGAAAAGCAATAGTTGATTTCTATTTATTCAGTGTAATGGATCAGTATTTCATTTTAAATCAAACCATATAAGCTTGTCTCTATATGAGATATAAACGTCATGCTCATCTACACACATAATGCTATAACACAGAGAAATCACAGCTGTAAAATAACAATCTTTAGCAAAGTCATTTTGAAGTAACTAATACAAGAAAGAGATGCATAAACCATTTTGGAAAACAAACTGTCGTACTTCCTAGAACAATGAAAGCAGTGTGAGTAATATCTCATCTGACTAAAATAGTTTATAGAAGCATAGATGGTGCACAGTTCCTGTAATTAATGCTAGGCAGTTAAGGATACCAAATCAACTGTCCTTTGAGTTCTAGCTATAGGAAGCTGTGAACATTTAAGTCATTTGCATGGTTTTAGTTGTAGGAAGCTGTGAACATTTCAGTCATTTGCATAGTTTTATGCTTGAAGTTAAAATAGACAACTACACATACTGACTTTTGGAGTAGATGCTTGGTGACTTCTTTTCCATGTGAAAACTCTTCTGAGTTGTCCGATGGGATGGTACTGAGTATCTGTAACTACTGCTCTTTTCGGTGCAACAAAAAACACAAGAGAACAGTGACCCTGAAGCAATCAGCACCAACGCTGTGGTCCAGCCTATGTACAGCGCTTCTCCAAGCTCACGTTTCTGTCCAGGATCCACTACTGGGTTGTAGAAGTCTCTGACGATGGAATTAGCCACCCAGGACACAGGGATGAGCACCACAGTGCCTGTAATAATGAAGAGAATTCCAGCGATCAGCAGGATGCGACTCTTCACACTGTCATCATCCCCGGTCAGCCTGGTACACTTCATGCCCAGAATGGCTGTCATGAAAGCCAAGAAGGACAACACAGAAGCAGCACACATCAATCCTCTGGATGCCTGTAGGTCTGGTGAAAGAGCCAGCAGGGAGTCATAGACTTTGCACTGCATTCTGATATTAGCGTGCCTCATGCAGTTCATCCATAGTCCTTCCCAGAGGTTTTCAAAAACCACGATGTTGCTCCCGATGAAGGCCGACACTCTCCACTGGGGCATGATGGTGATGGCCAGTGTCCCAACCATGCCAATACCACCAATCACCAGTCCAGCTATTTGCAGAACATAGGATGCCATTCTCCTCTTGGAGAAGTTTTACCCAACTGGAATCCTGAGCTGGCGGGGGTGCTCAGAAGCAAAGTTCTTTGTGCTCCAGAGAGAACAGTTTTCTTGTAGTAGTAATGAACTCAGGACCCACTGCTTCTCCAAGTAAAAACTGTCTTGCTTTTAGCTAGGTAAAATCCAGCGCTGCCTGAGGAGGTGCCCCTCTAATGACTCCGGCAGGTAAACTTGCAAATCAGGTAGGACAACTTTCTTGGCCACTAAGAGGAGGAGGGTAACTCAGGTGTGTCCAAACCAAAGACACATAAACATTCTCTGTAATTCTCAGTTTTCCAAGAAGACAGAGGTATGTTTACCTACAGTCCTAATTATGAATCCTTGCACAATAATCACAGAATGAGCCAGTCTCTGGCAATGCTAAACGGGTGCCTTGTACAGGTGATTCTAAAACTCTCAGTAAAGCTGGTTTGACTAAGGTATAAAATCAAATATCTGGCAAAAAAATCTGCAAGAGCTGTTTAAATGTCAAAAGGAAAGAAGAGGAAAGGATTGATAGGGTGTTCATACCTGGAAAACCACATTCTTTGGGACACATGTGATCAAACGGGTTGATTTAATTTGTCTACAACTTCAAAGCAGGCTCTACAGGCAAGGGATGGTGCTCAAAAAAAGCAAGCCTGAAGTAATTAAATACCTGAGGTTGTCCTCCTCCTTGGCACACAATACATAGTGTTTTCTTCTAAGCCAGTAAAATTTCTTACTGGTATTTTTCTGATAATCTTGACTTATGAGAGAAAAAAAGGCAAAAGTGCAAAAAGCCCAGATGATTTACTGAGGTACCAAGCACTGCAGCACTGAATGAGGTAGTTTATAGCATGCTGACCTGGTAGTTTATTTTGTGGCTCAATCCTTGCTACTTTGTTTTCCTAGCCTGAAGGAGCTAGAATTCTGCAGACGGTACACAATTCTAGATCTTAGCAAATGGCTAATATTTTAAACAGAATGTGTACAGGACAAGGCAGCAGTATTTATTGAACTTAATTATCTTAGGCAGCAACCAAATTTGTCTTTACTACCTATAATACCATGTCGCATGGAGGACGTAGAAGCCCCTAAATGCAAGCTCATTTGAAAGATGTCTTCTCAGATAGTGATGGCCACAGTATCTAAGATGAACTTACATATTGTTTGGGGAAAACTCCACTAGCAGTTTTCTTCTGGAGATTATCTTGGGCTCTCTGTTCTGTCTTTCCGAATTTCAAGTGTATTTTAATTTCCATTCTGCGGAACATGATAACAACGTGTTTCTTTAAGATTTTGGATCTCCTTGTTTCCCGCTAGTACTATCTTAAATCCAAATATATGAATGGGACAGAATGTTTTCTATTTACTTATTATACCTTGAGAGTTTAATGGTCCAAAACTCTAAGTAATTTATGGAGATTATTAAAACAAAAACTACACGATAGAGAGGAAAAGACAAAGATATCAAAGTAAACTGTCTTCTAAAAAAAACCTCAAAGCAAAAAAAAGGGATGCATTTTAGGTCAAATTGTCATTTTATTTCACTAATTATTTTTTAAAAGAATAAATTAAAGCTTTGTATTACAGTAATTTTCTCATTTGTTGACCTGTAAAAAGTTAAATTGCTGGGTGTTCCTTATCCTGATGCAGAAAATATTTAGAATTCTTTTCATCAGCTTTGCATCAGTTACAGATTTTCAGCAGCAGTGGAAATAATCTACAGAAAATAATTGTGCAGTCTTCAAAAGGAGAGTTGAAAACAAAATCCCAGACAGTGTAAGGTGTTTTTTTTTTCTGACCAATCTTAGAAAAAGGAACACCTGGGATAATTTGAAAATTGCAAAAGGAATGAGATAATAACTGATGCAGCAGATATATTTTAGGTACGTAAGGAAATACATTAACCCATCAAGATTTCTCTTCTAAATTCCTGTGTGACAGATCTCCTAGAAGCTCTGTTTAAATATTGTTGAGAATTTATATTCAAATGGGACCAAAACAGGTGTCCAGGAACCTGAATGGAATACTTTGGCCTTTTTTGGAGCTGCCTCTCAAAATGTTTATTGGCTTTCTATATAACCTAACTTCACTTTCCTCAAGCACCGAGCTTTCAAAGGAACTTATTTCATGTGAAAAAATATTTTCCTCATTTCACAAATATGAAGTACTTTGCTACTGAAATTTTCCTAGTCAAAAGATTAGGATCTATATGAAAAGTAATCCTAGGTTCACATTAGAATAATTGTAGAGTTAAATGCCCTAGTAAGAAATAGTCCAGTGCATCCACTAAGACACACAATGGTCTATTTAACCTCATGATATTTTGAAATAGCCATGCCCTAAAGGTCATAGAAATGAAATGGGGAAAATAAAAAGGCAGTATAAAGTTTACCAGAGATAGAGAGGCCTAGATTCAAAGAGCACAAAATGTTTAGCTATTTGTCTGTCCTCCTGAGATGATTAACCTGGCTGCAAAATTCAGGAATCAGCAATACAGCTTTAGCAGGTTAACAATATTTTTATGGTTCTTTAATTTAGAACTATAGAGCAATCTATGCAAATTATTCTATACTTTTTCTTTTCATTTCTGTGAAGAAACAAAATGCTATCAAGAACTCCAGGAAGAAACAAATGCTCATGGTGATCCATTGCACTTCCACCCTGAGGGGCTCCCTTTTCTCAGAGTTCCATCTGGTGGATCTGGGATCTAGGGATCCACAAACTCACTCTCACCAGGCCTGTCTGTCTCTCTGATGTAGAAAAAAGAAGAGGATTAAGAGAAGACCAGTATAAAGCAGAAGTGATTTTATTGTAGACATTGCAGGAAGTGCTACAAAACTACTCCAAGGGGAGGAGTAGAGGTGGTCAGAGCTGAGACATCTAGGGCGGAGGTCCCGTTGTATGGGGTATGGGTCCCATCTTCACCCCCCACCCCCCACGTGCTGAGATGGATTGTTTGGATATTGGGCTTGTTGCTAGGAGTTCGCTCTTGTGAGCTAATAGGAAAATGTGGAAGGGAGACTTTTATTTAAGAAGTAATATACTTAAAAGTGAGGCTTAGGTGGACCAGTGTAGCTACACAGAAAGGGGTGTCAAAACTGCAGGCTGCCAGCTCTGCTGTCTGCTGCTTGCTGAGATCCAGAGGCCTCTTGAAGGGGCCCAGTCCCTTAATCTAGTCCTCCCTAAGAATCACAACTGTCCCTAGATTCCCCCCTCAAGAAATGACCATGCAACTGCTGTTGGGATCAGTGACAATGAATGCTCTGGTTACCTCTGGTTGACAGGGAGACTTAGCTGAGGCAGTGGATCATGTCCATTGGGAGATTGATCATATGACCCACAGCAGAGGAAAGGAGATGGATGCCTCCATCTGGAGAAATGTCCGCATGATCATTTCAAGTTCGGCAGCTGCTAGGTGAGAACAAATAAACTCTACCAAGAGATTAAAGCGCACATGACCAAGCCATGAGAAATAGTATGGAAAGAACAATTGTAATCACCTGGCTCTCCGATCTGTCTCCTGGTGTGGCTGGAAACTGCCAGCATGGGTTACCGATGGGAGCCCCTTTTTATGTCTAGTCTACATTAATTTTACTGTTGTATCTTTGGTTTTACTTTCAGGCTAAGTAGTCAAGATCAAGCTAAAGTGAGACCAGTATTAATCAAAATTAATTTTCCAAATATCAAGGTCAGTTAAGGATCTCTAGGAGTTACCCATAGGATCATGTGTAGAGCTTTTTAGCTCCTTGGTCAGTGTCAGCCTCCAGGACGGATCATGGTCTTGCTTGACCATGTGGCTTTCCATTAGAAGCAGAGTTGATGTGCTACTCTGTAGTGATGCTTCTTTTTAGCACACCATATCTTTGTTGATTCCTGTTCTTTGGGATCAAGTAATCTCTGGGCTCAGGAGGTTGAGTGACTCACCAAAGCTGTAGGATCTTATAGGAAAAGTCCCCTTCTGTCCTAGGTCCTTTTTGACCTTGGAGAGCCAAGGCCAAAATATTGGCTGTCCTCTTAGCCAAGTTATCTTTTTCCTCTGGTCTCCAAACCTCAGTTGTTGAACACCCAAAAGAATTAGTTACACCAATATTGTAACTGAAGCAGTAGGTTTAATTTTATGACCTATCTAGTTATTAAACACTTTGAAATAGATAACATGACCAAAGAATGGTTATTTCTTTCCAATCATGGTGGTCTTAGAAGTTGAATCTCTGCAGAATGTTAATAGAGAGCAATTACAAAGTCTTTCCAAGAAAACTGGAAATTGAGGGCAGCATAACAGTTCAGTATTAACAATTATGATGAAATTAATATATTAGAGCCATTAGGTACTGTTATTATCTCTGAAACATATTTAAATGTTTAACTTAGTGCAGAACAACCTTTTAGTCAGTCGTAGTCATCTCTAACCAATTATAAGCTATTAGATGACATAAAGAAACTTTTATCCAGTTTTATCATCATTCAACAGAATGTTATCCAAGTCCAATATTGCACCTGTCTAGAGATATACCTCATAGGTTGTTTCCAATCTTCCATTTCCAGAGTGTTGTTCCCTAGACTGCACAGTGTCTGAGCATCTCTTTATAAGAAATCTTTATTATTTTACCCATAGAGAACTTAACCTTTTGATGATAGTCAATGCAAATCTGTTACAATAATATTTAGCAAGGTTTGTTGGGATGAATCACCCATAAGGAAACCACTGGGAGCCCCATTATTGGATAAAATTGAAATGAATCAATTTCAGGCAGCTGCGTTTTTTTTTTTTTTAATCTGCCCAAGGGAGTTCAGTCCAGCAGTCCCCTTCCAAGTCTAAGGGGCCCCACTTAGCTACCTCAAGAATTTTCTCAGATGATTTTAGACCACTGCAGTCAACACAGTATTTTGATGGACAAAAACTTCCAAATTATTACATAAGAGCTCTTCACTGATCAGAAACGGTGCACTAAGTTATTCCATGTAGACAACAATAGGCTCTGTATTTATAAACCCTATATGTGATGGTATTTTGATTGACAGATAACCTGAGTGGAAACCTATCATTGACCTTAAGGACATCTTTTTACCTTTATTTAAATTACCTCACTGATAAGCTATGTGAATCACAAGTATTTGAAACAATGTCTTGAGTGTTTATCTCAAAGCCATAATAAGCTATATACCTAAACGTTTTAATAAGTTTGGCTGTCCTGAAATATATATAAGTGGTTTTCCATGGAAATCTCAAAAAGGAAAGCGCCAAAGACAGAAAAAGACATTATTAAGATAAAAAAAAAATGTTTCTTTCCTTTTCCTTTTAAATGGAGCAGCTGCACGTGTTGTAAAAGGTTATTAGCCCAGATTGGACAGGCTCCCATGTACAGAGGCAGCTCTTTAACACGAGTCCTGAATAAAGCACTGCCTGGCCAGCATCAGACAGGGTGTCCCCCACTTCAAAGCCTTGGACCCAGACCCAGACAA